CTGGTCCCTACGACAGTATGCTGCCCCGTTCGTTTGACTTATAAACCGTACTTTTTCAGCCAACCAACAGTCGGCCTGTTCGTTTGGTCGTAAACGATCGTAAATTTCCAGCCAGAACAGTATTTTTCTCTCACACCAAACCAGCCAGCAATAATAATCCACGATCGTATACGATCGTTTCAGCCCCAGCCGAACAGGTTAAGTATTTTTCTCTCACAACAAATCAGCCAACAGTACTTTTAGTCATGGCTTATTAACCAAGCGAACACGACAATATACAATGGCTTCAGCTGTTGCTTCCTGCTACTGATCGACACACAACAAAATGTTATGCCTTCGGATCTGTAGCCTTGCTGCTACTACGCTTCCGCTTAAGAGATACCATAGCTGTCAAGTCATCATACATCCCTGTGACAAGAAAAATGTCACGAATACACTTTAACACATAGCTTTTACGCTAATTCCTGTCAAACCCGGTCTTATTCGGATGGGATCCACACACGCTGCGAATGCTAAGAGGACTGGCTCGTCCTTCATAGCCGCACACGCTACGAACGCTAAGAGGACTGATTCGTCCTTCATGGCATACAAGCCTGATGAGATCTTATTGTAGCGTCTGATGTTGCACTCGGACATACTCGTCCTTTACGGCAATCAAGCCCTCTGATACGCTTGGTCACCTACACACCCGGACTGACTCATCCTTCATGGCATACAAGCTTGTCAAGATGCTTGGTCAATTACGTATACCCTGACGATGCACCCAGAAAGACTCGTCCTTCACGACTTTGAAGTCGGTCGAGACGTCAGGCGTCCACCCCTTACACTTACAATCAACTCGTCCTAAGTCAATCAGGACGCAGCCAACTAGGACGATTAAGTCTAGAGAGACTACAGTCATCCAAAGCCTCCCACTCGGAAACACCTTACTTTGTGAGCCGACTACATAAATCCAGAGCTACCACAAGCACATGGCCTAGTCGGCTACTACCACGGCATGGTCGGCGCTAAGCTCAGGGGCTCGGTCACCTGTGTCAGCCCTCGCCGCTCACCGCCGTCATCCCACATCAACGCAAGGACAACACGACCCCGCACGGTATTCTTGACACACTCGGACTCCTCGTCATGGGATAGTACACCTGTGCCGAACGCGGTACCGGATTCCCCAACAGTACCTGCACAATCATGTGTGTGTGTGTGTGTGGAGGAATTGCTCTGATCGACGGTTATGCTCAAGTCACGCAGTACAATATACGGAGATCAAAAGCGGACGCAGATTGGCGTGCAAAGCTCCCAAGACCAGCGATCTGCAGGAGACATGCAAACTTGCATGATTACAATAATCCAAACCTGCATAGCGCCAGGCCCAGGTGCTACCGGCTCGTCCCGCTCGTGAACCACTTCGCCGGCGGCATCTTCGACGAGCACCGCAACTGAGTTCGACTCCGACTCGGTTTCGCCAAGTTCGACTCTGTTAGTGCCGACTCCGACTCCGTCTCGCCCGAGTTCGACTCAGCTAGTGCCTACTCCGATTCCACGTGCCGAGTTCAACTCGGCTGGTGCCGATTCCGACTTCAATGCACTTGCATGCAGTGGGCCTCGAACGAACACGGTGATGGATGCCACGCACATCAGCTGGAAGCCAAGTATGCGACACGGAGTCAAAGATTTATTCACCTGTTGTGCAGCACTACTCCAGCACATAAACATCAGCAGCAACCAAATTTCAACGGAACAAACAGGAGAATGTCAGCAAGATGAATACAAATCCGAGCACGCATGTGCATGCTTATGTGTGCTTTCATTACTTAAGCAAATATGGAGGACGTAACTCTACAAGTGCCATGCAAATAATCAACAAGATATGCAAAGCTACCACGGTTTGCATGTTCACATGAGACAGAGCAATACGGTTCAGCTACTGCTCGTCTACCGTACCTTTTGTGATTCAACTCGGAATGCTCATGGACCATTGTCAAAACACCGACAGTCGACAATTGTCAAAAATCATTTCATTTCTTGTAAGCTATATTTTGTCCAACAAATGGCAGCATCTCCTAACAAAATCAAGATATTATTGTTTGATCCCCCCCTGTTTGTGCCATGCATGAAAAAGATCAAGATTATTTAATGGAGGACGTAGACCTAAACCAAATAAACTGCTTACCAAAGGAATTTAGCATAGGTACGTTAAAAAAAGAGAGGTGTCTAGCTGTTTCATCTCTACAACAAAACACACAAGATTTGTTCCTGCTCCAATTCCTTGTTGCTAAGTTTTCTTTGGTTAAAATCACTCCTCTCTTTAGGAACCACAAAAAAAAATCAGTTGTAATCTTAAATGCCATATTTCTTGTGAGAGGATGATACCCATATTGATAAGGTGTTTGTACATGGAATTTACTGGGAAGGAACCATTACTTTTCAAGAGCCAAAAAAACGTATCCCTTTCAACTCGTAAACCAATGTTTGCAATTAGTGCTACGAGATTATTCCACCCTAACTACTATTCCCTATTAATGCCCGTCTGAAGGAAACATTAAGAGGAACAGTACTGAGAGTTGAATCTACTATAGCCTATTTTCGTCGAACAATATTATAATGATTTGGATATTGTGTTTTTAAAGGATGTTCCCAACCAGGTATCCTTCGAGAACCTGATTTGAGAACCGTCACCTAGTTTAAATTTTTCTAGCTTTATGAATTGGTCCTTCACTACCATTAAATCATACAAAAATGAGAATCACAAGCCCCTTTTGGAAACCTGTGTTAAGTTCCTGTCTTTCATGTATTTATTGCGGAAACTAGCCAGGCCCTGCGCCGCAAAGCTGTTCGAGCACTACCAGCTGGTCGTGAGGCTCGCGTTCTTCTTCGTCTTCGCCATGTTCGGCGCCGCAGCCATCACCAACCATGTGAAGCACCGTGTCCCGGCGGCAGCCCCTAGTGTGTCATCACCAAGGCGAGGGTGCTGATGCGCCAGAACATGACTCTCGGCTAGGGGGCTCATGCCCCCTACTGCAGCCGAGCCTCTGGAGCCCCTTTAGATCTCTCTGCTGAAGTTCTGTGTGTTTTTTACAGGGTTGGGTGAGTTCGGTAGAGCCTTGTAAATCTTTTTGTAAATAACCTTGTCCCTTTCATCCTTATAATATATTTTGACAAAGCTTTTGCCGACTTTTCAAAAAAAAACATCTTGATCTTACCCTAACCGCGTGCGGCATCCATGTCGTTTGCAGACCGTCTGGTATGGCATGCTTTGCGATGTGCGTCAAGGTCCTCATGACCGCGAACATTGCACTGATTGCCCTCTTCATGTTTGGACTGGGACTCGCCGAGCTACCAGCTACGTCCCTCCCAACGTCTGCATTGCTCAGGCGCCAGTTTACCAGGGCATCGACGAGTTCCAGTCCCACATTGTTGGCCTCACATCGTGTCCTCCATGTTTGTGTGCGGGCTCGCCACGGTGGAGGTGGCTGTGAGCGGCAACAACACCGTCACCGATATGCACCCGCTCGCCAGGAGGTTCCTGTGTGGGTGCATGGTGCTCGCACTCCTCCTCTCGGGCATGTCGGTTGGGCTCGGGCTGCGCACCTATGCCTACGTGCTGGAGGCCAAGGTGACAGTCTTCTCCTGCCTTACTGTTGGCGTTTGGTTCTCCTTCAGCTCCTATGCCCTGACCACCCTCGTGTGCATGTACGTGGAGCTAGGTTTCTCTGGGTTGTGGTGTTTTACGACTTAGTGTTTCTATCTGTCTGGGAGAGCCATCATGCTCATGCCCTATGTTAGCATCGGTAGTCTCTTTGTGTAGACTGCAGTCTATGGGAGCCTCCTTGGTTAGCAATGACGGTCAGGGGGGCTCATGCCCTACTGTAGCTGAGCCTATGAAGCCCCCTTAGATATTGTTATCAGGAGCTTGTTGCTTGCGTCAGGAGCTTGTTGCTTGCGTCTATGGTTTGGTGGGTGCTAGACACTAGACCTAGCAGCAAGCACACCACCATGACGATGGGCAGCGCCATGCCGGCGTGCTGCGGCAAGTCACGCTTCACGGCCACCATCATGGAGTACCTTGGCGTCGTCTCCGACGGCACTCTCTTCAACGACCCCGCCTACGACATCGTCACCACCACGCCTAGCTGCTTCGGAGCTAATCCCCTAGGGACTAGCAAGACAAGGCCCGGGTTCTACGTTGCGTATGGAGGGGCCTGGTGGAATCTATATATTGCGACCAGGCTGATGACAGCTTTCAGGCGCATTAAGCATAGTGTGCATAAGTATGATAGCAAGAATATGGCATTTAGCCTTGGTTGCCAAATATAAAATTTTGGATGCAGAGTTATTTCGTTGTCCATCTCTTCTTTTCCCCAAAAATTGACTCAGTTACTCATACCATATAGTAAAAATGAGTCATTATATTTATTGCAACATATTTTGTGTTCTATATAAAGCATGGGTTCAGCATGAAAAAAAGCTTTTAAATAGAACAGATAAGACCAAGAATTTTCATTTATCTAGGAAATATTATTTTAATCTAAAGTCATTGACTTAAGAAAAAAAACAACTGCTTGGCAAGAGCAACAACAACCAATATCCTTCTGGATAGACTCTCAACTAATAGCACAACTTTCATAGGTAAAAGATACATATAAGAAATACCATCACTAGCAGCGTAGATGTCGAGATCTATGTGACCTTTGAGATCCTAGGATCAGCAGCCAGGAAAGCAAGCAGAAAATTGTGACGGATATGGCTGCAGTTACGAAAAAAAAAAAGACGAAAGAAACTGAACAGCCAGGAAAACATGCAGAAAAACGTGACTGATATAACTTCAGTTACATAAAACTTATCGTCTTACACCGGCAAAAGAAAACCTAGCGGAGGCTACCATTAACTGCCTAGTTATTCGATATACAGTATATAGAATGTCTGATACAAACTTAAGGTAATGCTTCACGACAAAATAAACTAAGCAGCAGGTTGTCGGTAGCTCCATTGACGACGCAATAGGATTAGTGCCTTTCGCCACGGATCCTGGTAGCCAGATGAACATCTTTGGGCATGATGGTCACTCGCTTGGCATGGATGGCACACAGGTTGGTGTCCTCGAAGAGACCCACGAGATACGCCTCTGCCGCCTCCTGCAGAGCAAGGATCGCATGGCTCTGGAAACGCAGGTCACTCTGCATATGTGCATATATATATATAGCCATGCATGCATGAAGTTGCATTCAGATATTACAAATGCTTCGAAAGAAAAAAAAAACAAGGAAGAAAAATTGCAGATCGCGCACATGTGGTGGTGATCAAATTAGCAACCATACCTTGTGAAGCTGGGCGATCTCCCTGACGACCCTCTGGAAGGGCATCTTCCTGATGAGCAGCAGCTCAGCTCCCTTCTGATACTTGCGAATTTCACTGCAAGAAAATAAATCAATGTGAGGTTCAGATTCAGTTGTGACACGGTTACTTGCATGGAAATTACAGCCGTACAATTCTTGAATTGATAGCAAAAGCAACCCAGATAAAATCAGCTGTGTTGCACTTGCACACGTACGTACCGAAGAGCTACGGTTCCAGGGCGGTAACGACGAGGCTTCTTCACTCCTCCTGTTACTGGCGCTGTCTTGCGAGCAGCAGCCTACGGTCACAATGCAAAGCCATACTACTAATGTTAGAACAAGTTTCAACACGCAAGTGTGTATGGTACTTAACATACAAATTTTACATATACACGCATACAAAGATCGTTCGAACGAGTTGCTTTCTTGGTGTCTTTCCTCCGGTCGACTTACGAGCCCAACACTTAGTACGAGCCATCTTGCAAACAAAATATATAGTAATTAAATTGATGATTATTGATATATATACTGCATGTACAAAAGAAATCCTCAGTATACTGTAACTGAAAATAAAATGCTTCTGAGGAACAGAAATAAGTATGTATTATATATAACAGTAGTATATAAATCTTGCATCTAATTGAAATGTTCACAGAACCACTACTGTCACACACTAGCATATATATGCCTAACTGAATCATGTCATGTGTAGCAGTAGGAAAATAAATTGAGAACACGTATGCAGATAAAGATAGGCATATGAATTCAGATGTGGGAACTACACAGTGCAAATCCAGGCCAATCAGCATGGGCTTGACTTCATGATGTTTCGAGCGTTATTGAACAGAAACCTAATTCATCGCCTGGATACTAAAGGAACACTAATGACTATTGAGTTGCCGTTTCCTCTCTGTTACAATATCAGGGCATAACAATACACAGAAACATGTTTAGAGTTAGAGATATAAAGTCGAGAGAATAGAACTGCGAAGTGCAAACAAAATCATGTACTCGGTACTCATGCAACGAAGAATCATTTATCAAGTATGAACGCTTGTACGGCAAAAATGATGAATAAACCCTGAGCAGAGTGGGGATATATAGATTACTGTCTAGCGTAATCATATTAGAGTTTGCAATCCATAATTGCCCGCGCACTAAAACCCTAGAAACACAAATACACGTTATAAAACCAACAACCAAGGTCGTCCAAACACAGCCAGTTGAAAGAAAATGAACTACACAAACAACAGATTAAAGCATGTGGCAGTGGCCAACATGTAGATAGATATATGGATAGCCGATAAAGCAAGAATATAGATCACCAAATCTGTTAGTACTGCACAAATTAAAGTAGTAATAAGGAGACTAAGTAAACATGATCGAAGGAGATGGGTCTATCTAGTTACCTCTCACAGTCACAGATCGTGTGTGTGTGTGTGCGCGCGCGCGCTAGCAACTGCTGCACTACTGATGATGCCTTGTAGATGTAGACGTTGCTAGGCCGCTCTTCAGCCCGTGAGCCCGTGATGTAATTTGCCGGTGGGGGAGGGGGCGCTATTTATATAGGCAGTAGGCACGTACTCGAGACGCACAACGGACTCCTGCATTATCGGACGGCTCTGATTTGGATGTGCCGCGGATTGGTGTAGGCAAACACTAGATTCTTATTGGCTGGTGGCACTACGACGCGGATTTATGTAATTAACCACAGCATATACGACATACGTATATGTAGATTTCCTTCCGTACCCGGATCAACCGCAGTTGGATTAAAATCTACTCATGCGTAGAATATTTGATTACATGTTATACATGTTAGGCGTTGCATTTGTCCCTTCTTCTTTATAGCAGTGCATATACACGGTAACTGCAGGGAAGTACCGACGAGTCTGCAACTTTGCAACACTATCCAACTTTGCACTTGGATGTATGTCATGTACACCTACAATACTGCTATGAAACTAAGAAATGAAATTTCTCGCATTATCCAACTCAGTGTTGTATTGTAACCAAAAAAAAAAATCTTCTACGAGGACAAACACACGCACACACCATGCATAGACACGTAAAGCATTTACACCCTCTGTCCAAAAAAAAGTGTAATTTCAAATTTTGATCAAATCAAATTTTCTTAAGTTTAACTTAATTTATAGACAATAGATTCGACATTCATATCTCCAAGTAGATTTATATTCTATATGATTAATCAATGATATTTAGTGTCGGTACAGAAAGTGATCAACACGTAAATATTTGTAGTTTTGTCGTACATTGTGATCGGAGGTGGCCTAGCACTCAATGACACAGGGTTTATACTGGTTCAGGCAACGTGCTCTACGTCCAGTTTGAGTCGGTCGATAACTTTATTCGTGAGCCCAGGTGCTCGAAGTTTGTAGTGGGGTTACAAAAGAGAAGGAGAAAGATGAGGGTACAAGAGGTCCGGTCGGGCTTTGGTTAGAAGGGCCGAGAGTGACGGGAGCTCCATTAGGTGCAATGTGTTCGAGCGTGTGCTCGGGGTTTGAACCTGGTAGTTCTGTTGTTGTGTCCTAGTGAACTTGATCGATCTGAATCAACCTATCTGTTGGAAGAGAGCGCATCCCCTTTTATAGATGAAGGGGATGGCCTTACAAGTGAGAGGGAGAGAGTACGTTCGCTGCTAAGTCTTGCTGCCCACGCCGGTGGGTACAGGATGATGGTAGGCGCCCCCAATACTGTTGAATGTCAGATGCACGTGGGAGGTTGCGTTGTCTTCTTCAGGTACGACAGATGTCGGTACCTGCTATACTATTGATGCCGAGAGACATGCAGGGGGTTTTACCATGTTCACCTGGCACGGTAAATGTCGATGCCCACAACATTGTCGATGCCTCAGAAGCACGTGGGGGGAGTCTTACCGTATTTGTCTGGTATGGGAGTTGATGGCGCCCACAACACTGTAGGGGAAAATATCGGCGCCTACAACACTGCTTACATTCTGTCATGCTAGGGAGGTCACAGGGTACTGTCCCATAGATGTACAGGGTACGGTACTTGGTATTGCGGTTGACTTGAGTGCGCTGCCTTACTTTCTCCGTCCGTTTCCTGGTCCTTACCAAGCGGGCGTCCCCGATCGGTTGGTCCCAGTTGGCTCTGATTGCGCTAGTTGGAGAGGAGTTGTAAGCAGGGGTTCGGCGTATCCCTGGTCGGAGAAGCGGGTCGGAGTCAGAAGTGGTGTTTAGCCAGGCCTTCCGGTCGAAGAGGCCGTCCGGAGGCGGGCTGGAGACCGAAGCGAGCGCTCCGGTCGAAGAGGTGGGCCGGAGTCAGAAGCGGGCGTCGTTCCTCCTCGGCCAGGCCTTCCGGTTAGAGATTGGATCGTCCTTCTGGCCTGTCATCTAGGTATTTGGGTCGGCCCATGAGTTGCACGATGCTCACAACGTCGTCTGTTGGGCCGAGCCTTTGTTGGGAAGCCGGTCCAAGAGGGACCCCGGGTTTATGAACCCGACATTTAGTTTTGTACCAATTGGTTAGATTTGAGATTGATTGGCTTAGGAAAAAGCTAGAATTACACTCTTTTCACATGGAGGTGTATATAATACTTGAACTGCAAGCGCCGGACATCGTGACGCTCTGCATGCGTGCCCACCTGCTGTCTGCGCTGCTGCCCGCATGGGGATGTCGCTCCGTTTCTTGCGCATGTGCATGCCCACGCAGGCTACCCCTCTGCTCCCCCACATAAAGCAGCACGCAGCCCGAGAGGCGCAAGCAGGTGGTTGTGGCGGTGGGTCCCACTAAAACATTCAAACACCAGATCCACTTTGGCAACATCTAGATGAAATATTTGCAACATACGTCTAAAACAGATGAAACATTTGGGACATACAGTTGAAACACCATTGCAACATGTGCAACATCCCAATCTACTTTTAAAACATACAGATGCAACACTTGCAACATACAAAAGAAGATAGATGAAACACTTGAGACATGCATCTGAAAGACTTGCAATATATGTACAAAAATAGATAAAACATTGGGGATAGACGTTTGCAACATACATGTACCACCATTGCAACATATGCAACATTCCTAACTACTTTTGCAACATTTGCATGAAACATACATCTGAAACAACTGAAACACTTGAAACATTGGCTCGCAACATGTCTAAAAAATGTCCATAAACACTTGAAAACACAGCATCGCCGTGCGGCCATGGCCTACCTGGTGGGGAACTACGGTGGCGCAGGCCTCCCCTTCCTGTCGACGGCGCGAGGTGGATCGGCACGGCGCTGGATGGTGGTGCTGTCGATCTCGTGCTAGTGCGAGTTGTCGCTGCTCCGGTGGAGAAGGCCATGGCGGGTCCAGCACGAGCTGTCGCTGCTCCAGTGGAGAAGGCAGCCAGCGAGATGGAGAAGGCCGCGGCACGTATGGAGGCACGATGGAGAAAGAGGAAGGCAGGCAGCTGGGAGGCGCGATGGAGAGGGATCAAGGTGGGTGGACGCGCTCGGGCATGGTGGAGATGCTGGCCGTTGGGCCCCCAACCTCCGTGGATAACACTAGGGCGGCGCGGCGGAGCGTGTCCGCTCGAGCTGCAATGATTTTTTCTAGAGAATGGAAACATCATGTTACGGTTAGGGCCTCATGAACGAGAGATTACGACTATTAGGCCATTCGGCTGGTGTTGCGGCCCACAAACGGGAGTGTTCGGAGGATCGGAGGTCCTCACCGTAGCATTTCCGATATATTAACGCACATCTCTATAATGTGATCAACCTCGCCACCTCGGCAACCAACCAGCATACTACACAACCTAAATGAGTATTTGCCGGACGTATATATTGCCATGTCGCCATTTCATCTCAATATCTCATCCTCTCGATCATTGAGCTGAGAGCTTTGCACTCGGACCACAAGCCAACGAATTAATTGTCGCAGCTCGTCGTCGTCGTCGTTGATCATATCATATGACACACAGGCCATGCTACAACTTGATTTATGTGTTGTGGCTTGCTTGCCTGTCTTCGTGCGCCCTAGTTTCGTAGTTCGCGCCACCAATCCACTGTCCAACGAGGACTTGCTCTACAAAAGTTAGGCCATGTTTGGTTCCTAGCAGATAGTAGCTATCTGCTAATAATAATTTCTTTTGGATCTCAATAGGTATTGATAGTGGACTAGATAATTATTAGTTGGACCTCTATATAACAACTATCCCACTAATTGGACCAAATGAGATAATAACAGCTAATAGGTGGACCCCACAACCCTATTTTTCTCTTAAAACCACTAATAGTATTAAGGTTAAGGAGCCACATTCTAGACCCAGTGGCTGTCTATAAAAGGAGCAGGAAAGAGCTAGGGCATCCCTCTCGGCCTCTCCTCACATCCCCCTCTCTTCCTCCCAACCCAATCATGAGTACCCAGCTCCTACTGATTATCATTGCCGTGGCGGCCGCACCATCTGACGCCAGGGAGCCGGCCACGGTGCCGGGCGAGGCG